CAGAAAACTCATCTCACCACAAGGGATGCACACAGACTCAAAGTTAGAAGATGGAAGATGAATTTCCAGGTGAATGAATCACAAGAGAAGGCAGGAGTCACGATCTTAATATCAGGAAAAACAACCTTTAAGCTATCAAAAATTTAAAAAGATACAAAAGGACACTACAGAATGATAAAACGTTCAAACCATCAACTAGAAATATTCATCCTAAACATACATGCATCAAACACAGGAGCACGTGTTTATAAAGCAACTACTATGTAAACTAAAAAATGATATTGACTCTAACACTATTATAGCTGGGGACTTAAATACCCCACTAACTATCCTAGATAGATAATTGAGGCAAAAAAAAATCAACAAAGAGATCCAGTACCTCAACCTGATAATCAACCAAATGAACTTAATAGATGCCTATAGAATACTCCACCAAACAACCACAGAATGTACATTCTACTCATCACCACATGGAATATACTCCAAGATCAATAACATGCTTGGCCATAAATCAAGCATAAACAAATTTCATAAAATCAAAATACTGCCATGCACCTTTTCAGACCACAGTGAAATAATAGCTAAAACATGGAACCAACCATGCTACCCACTGAAACTATATTTGAGAAAAAAAAAATGTGGTCCATATACAAGATGAAACATTACACAGCTATAAAGAAGGACAAACAGCCAGCCACGGTGGCTCACGTCTATAATCCCAGCAATTTGGGAGGCTGAGTGAGAGGATTGCCTGAGTTCACAGGTCAAGACCAACCTGGGCAACTTGGTGAGACCTCATCTCTACAATAAATCAAAAGTATTAGCCAGGCATGGTGGCATGTGTCTGTGGTTCCAGCTACTCAGAAGGCTGAGTCGGAAGGATCCCCTGAGCCCAGCAGATTGAGGCCATGATGGCTGTGAGCATGCCACTGCACTCCAGCCTAGGCAACAGAGTGAGACTACAACTCAAAAAATGAAGTACAAACATATGGATTTCACAGCAACTTGGATGGATTTAGAGTCTATCATATTTAGTGATCTATCACAGAAACAAAGAACAGAGTACCACATGGTCTCACTCATAAGCAGACCCTGAACATTTACCATAATACTATAAGAAAGGGATTGGCAATAGCAGGATACTGCTGGGGTGGGGAGCACAACATCAATAAGAGTACCTGATCTCAAACCAGGCAAAGTGGGGGCCAAAGGGAGGCCTAAACTTTACCTGCATGATGACCACTTAAATATCTAATCCTAAATTGTACCCCATATCTTTAAAATAAATAGATAGGGGGCCGGGCTCAGCAGCTCAGCCTGTAATCGCAGCACTTTGGAAGGCTAAGGCAAGTGGACTGCCTGAACCTGCAGGTTCAAGACCAACCCGGGCAACTTGGTGAGACCTCATCTCTATAATAAATCAAAACTTAACCAGGCATGGTAGCACATGCCTGTAGTTCCGGCTACTTGGAAGGCTGAAGCAGAAGGATAGCCAGAGCCCAGCAGGTTGGCTTTGGGGTGACAATGAGCATGCCATTGCACTCCAACCTGGGTGACAGAGTGAGACTCCAACTCAAAAAATAAAATACAATAAATAAATACATGCATGCATACATACATACATAAAAGAAAATGCCCTCAAGAATGACTAATGCCCAATACATGTGGCGTATGGGGGTAACTCCTGCACCTCCTGCTTTCTGCATGTGATGAACACAGTCTCTTCTCCATGGCAGTGGTCCCCACCTTTTTGGCATCAGGGACCAGTCTCATGGAAAATAATTTTTCCATGAACCGGAGTTGGAGGATGATTTTAGGATGATTCAAGAGCATAACATTTATTGTGTACTTTATTTCTATTATCATTACATTGCAATATATAATGAAATAATTATAAAATCACCATAAAAAAGGAGGCATAGACAAAAGCGGTAAATAAAATAATGAGCAGACCACATGCAGACTAAAATAAGTGTGAGATTCTGACTTAAAGCCTGTCACCAGATGTAGCTGTACAACTCACCTGCCACTCACTGATAGGATTTTGCTATGAGTCTGCAAGTAATTGATGATCTCTGTGCAGTCAAACCTCACTGCTAATGTTCATCTGTATTTGCAGTCACTCCCTAGTGCTAGCATCACCACCTAAGCTCCACCTCAGATCATCAGGCATCAGATTCTCATAAGGAGTGCACAACCTAGATCTCTTGCATGCACAGTTCACAACAGGATTCGCACTACTACAAGAATCTAATGTCAATGCTGATCTGAAAGGAAGTGGAACTCAGACAATAATGTGAGTGATGAGAAGTGGCTGTAAATATAGATGAAGCTTTGCTCTCTGGCCTGCCGCTCACTTCCTATGTGACCTGGTTCCCAACAGGCAATATACTACTACTGGTTCATGGCCTGAGGGTTAGGGACCCATGCTCTAGAGCAGGGGTCCTCAAACTACGGCCCGCAGGCCACATTCGGCCCGCCAAGAACATTTATCCAGCCCACTGGATGTTTTTGCCTCCGCTGCCTGTCCTGCCAACCAGCCGACTCATCCGGGCCGCAGTGCGCATGTGTGGAATGTGCGTAGCACTCTCCGACTCCCCTCCTTCTCTCTGTCTCTTGACTCCTCCTCTCAGTAATCTCAGGAACCATGCACTCAAAATGGCAACCATCTTTGGCAGCACTTATGTCTGTGAATAGACTTTTTCCAGAATGAAACATCTGAAATCTTCAACCAGATCTAAACTAACTGATGCACACTTGCATCACTTGTTACGACTAGCAGTGACAAATATGGAACCGGACATTGACCATCTCATTAGCCAAAAGCAGGCCCATAGTTCCCACTGAAATACTGGTAAGTTTGTTGATTTAACTTTATTTGTTCTTCATTTTAAATATTGTATTTATTCCCGTTTTTCACTTCAAAATAAGATATGTGCAGTGTGCATAGGAATTTGTTCATAGTTTTTTTTTTTAAACTATGGTCCGCCCCTCCAACGGTCTGAGGGACAGTGAGCTGGTCCCCTGTTTTAAAAGTTTGAGGAACCCTGCTCTAGAGGATGCATTATAGAAGGTACCAACTTGGAAGCAGTGACCAGGATGTTACCAGACACCGAGCCTGCCAATGCGTTGATCTTGGACTTACAAACCCACAGAACTCCACTCAGGTGGCTTTTGGGCTTCCTCCTGTGACAAGCTGCAGCCTGCTCAGTGGGTGTCAGGGGGTGATCCCAGGGTCACAGGAGACTGCACTGAGAACACAACAGCTCCAGGACCTTTTCACAGAAATGGCAGGACACTGCCGTGGTCCTCAGGGCTCCTCTTCTGCCCTCTTTTCATGCTCCTCCTGGGAGTGGGAAACTGCTTCCTGAGCTCAGTCATGCGGCATAACTGGGGATTCCTCCTGAGGGTCTTGGCAGGGCAGTGGTGGAGGCAGACAGGATAGGGGAGGATGTCCTGTAGGTCCTCCCAGCACTGGGGAATGCAGGGCATCATGCAGATGGGGCAGCTGGCCTATGCTTGGAGTCAGCCAGGAAGGTTGCGAAGGCCATCAAGCAGGGAGGGGTGTGTCTGAGGAGACCCCTTCAATAGGAGGAATCTCCAGGGGAAGGGAGAAGCTGGTGACTCCTCAGTTTTCCCTCTCCTTCCTGGAGGTCAGTACCTCTGAAGGTCCTCCCTCCCACCGGGGCCTCTTCCTTCTTCCCTGTGGTCTGTGATGAAACTTCCCCAAGAGCCATGACCCTGGCTAACTATATCTCTCCCTGTGCCCTTCTCCTATATTCAGCAGTTCACCGGGATTGCAGAGTGGACATGGATTGTTTTGGCAAGGAAAGAGTTATAATCGCAAGCCACTGTGTTATTTTTGTGGGCATTACATTTTTTAGTCACCCTAAAAGGAAATTCAATCAAGTATTTATACTTCTTTCCACATGTGAAGTGTTCCTCAGGTTGACCAAATATTTATCAGGAGCATATTTTAAAAGGGTTAGAAATTAAACTTAGGCCAGGCGCAGTGACTCACGCCCATAATCCCAGCACTTTGGGAGGCCAAGGTGAGAGGATTGTCAGAGCCCACAGGTTCCAGACCAGCCTGGGCAACCTGGCGAGACTTCATGTCTACAATAAATCAAAAAATTAGCCAGGCATGGTGGAGTTTGCCTGTAGTTCCAGCTACTTGGAAGGCTGAAGCAGAAGAATTACCTGAGCCCAGCAGGTTGAGGCTGCAGTGGCCGGGAGGTTGTCATTGCACTCTAGCCTGGGTGACAGAGTGAGGCTCCTACTCCAAAAAAAAAAAAAATTTTTTTTGAGCTTAAATTTAATGAAGCCTCTAAATTTCATGACCTATTAGGAAAATATATAGGACAGCAAATCATGTTAGAGACAACCTTGGTACAGAAGTAGTAAAATCCAGTGTGATAAACTCTACTAGAAAACCAACCTGGGGATATCAACGAAAACAACAGCGTTGGGGGAGAGGGAGAGGAAGGGATGGGGAGAAAGAGGGAGAGGGCAAAGCAGTATCTGTGAAAGCAGATTTAAAAAACAGACCAATATTGACAATATATTGACTTAGTTTGTTTTCAGATTCAAGCACATGCTCTCAGAAGAAATTTCATGTCAGTTTAGGAAGTTGAATATCTGAGGATAATTTAAAATATTACAAATTATTTTAAGATTTAATCATGATATTAGAGCTATATTAATTTTATTTATTTATTTTAATTTTAAAGATATCAATTAGGAGATATATAAAATTGTTCCAGATACAATCCTATGCTGTCTAGTGGTTTGCTTCAATTCATGGTAATGGGAGATTGATGAGGCTATGGACAGAAAGTTTAGCAGTGAGTTTATAACTTCTGAAGTTGTTTGATAACTGCATGGAGGTACAGTATAGTATTCTCTCAACTACTAAGTATACTTGAAAAATTCAATGATCAGCTGGGCTTTGTAGCTCAGCCTGTAATCCCGCGCCTTTGGGAGGCTGAGGTGAGTGGATTGCCTGAGCCGCCGGGTTCGAGACCCGCTTGGGCAGCAAGACCTCATCTCTACAATAAATCAAAAAATTAGCCAGGCATGGTAGCACGCGCCTGTAATTCCGGCTACTCGGAAGGCTGAGGCAGAAGGATCGCCGGAGCCCAGCAGGTCGAGGCTGCGGTGGCCGGGAGCGGCCACTGCACTCCAGTCTGGGCGACAGAGTGAGACTCCAACTCAAAAAAAAAAAAAAAAAAAAAGAAAAATTCTATGATCGGCCATTGCTTTGCTAGACTCTGGTGTGGCCATGTGCTCTTTGACCTGTGGCTATTGCCATGCTTGCAGGCTTTGCGCCACACCCTGCCCCCCCCCTTTCTTGTTTTATCTCTCTCTCATTTACTTTCTGTTTTTGTTTTTTTGAGTTGGAGTCTCACCCGGTTGCCCAGACAGGAGTGCAGTGGCACGCTTCCGGCCACTGCAGCCTCAATCTGCTGGGCTCAGGCAATCCTTCCACCCCAGCCTTCCAAGTAGCTGGAACTACAGGCACATGCTACCACGCCCAGCTTATTTTTAGTTTTGATATATTGTAGAGATGAGGTCTTGCCAAGTTGCCCAGGCTGGTCTCGAACCTGTGGGCTCAGGTAATCCTCTCACCTCGGCCTCCCAAAGTGCTGGGATTACAGGCTTAAGTCACACGCCTGGTCCAATTTACTTTTAAATAAACTGTATTTTCTAATCTAACTTCTGTGCAATCCTTTGCATCTTTCATATGGCATCAGATCGCATCCCAGATACCCACACCCTCAGCAGGCCTGACCTAACATTCTGGAGGCTCCACTAGGAAAGTGTGACCCTAACATTTCTGGAGGTCACACCAAGATGACCCTAACATTTTTGGAGGTTCCACTGAGACCTGCCGCTCTTCGCTGTCATTCTCCTTTTCCACCGAGACCTGCCACTCTCTCTTCTCTCCAAAAGCCCTTAAATATAACCATTTCTTCGAGGCCACACTTGCCTGAGTGTCAGTCCCCTTTCCAATCTGTAAAAGGTGAATAATACTTTTTTCTACTTTCTTAAAAAAAAAACCTATAATAGAACAAGTCCTGTGTGGTTGTAACCTGTCTTAGGTATCTCTGCCTTGTCCCAGCAGATTCAGCCCTTCTCTCCCTCCCTTCTCAACCCCTCTCTTTCTTCCCTGTGCCCTGGAAGCTTTAGACCTCTCAGCTTCCCCCTTCCTCCTCACAGCTGACACAGGTCTGCTCACAGTCCTTCCATACCAACCCATCCCTCCCTGCTCTGCTCTCCCAGCATCACAAAAATAAATCCCTTGAATGTTATTCGTTGATATCAAGGATGTAACAAGGCCAGGAACTAGGACTCTGTCTTTCTGGATGTGATGTGGGTTGGGTTCCAAGCTGATCTCAGCCTAGCTGTGTGATTAGGGCTGCTGCCTGGATCCCCTCAGGTAGAAATAACCAGTAAAGAGATGAGTGCAGAGGGAAGACCAGCCACAGAATGAAGGTCTGTCTCCTACATGTGTGGATGGCCAGCCACTCAGGAGAAGCAAGCATTTCCCCTTGACCAGAACACAAATGTCTGCAGTCTAAACCATCTGCTCTAAATTTGTTTGGGGAGTGAGGAATGGAGAGCTCACTGTGGTGCCGAGGCTGGTCTTGAACTCCTGGATTCAAGGGATCCTCTCACCTCCAGATTAGCTGGGATTGCAGATACAAACTACCACCCACTCCTTAAAAATTCTTAAAATGGTCCGGTCTCAGTGGCTCAGCCTGTAATCCAAGCACTTTGGGAGGCAGAGGCAAGTGCATTGCCTGAGCCCGCGGGTTCGAGACCCACCCGGGCAACTTGGCAAGACCTCTTCTCTACAATAAATAAAAAATTAGCCGGGTGTGGTAGCGAGTGCCTGTAGTTCTGGCTACTTGAAAGGCTGAGGCAGAAGGATCGCCAGAGCCCAGCAGGTTGAGGCTGCGGTGGCCAGGAGCATGCCACTGCACTCCAGTCTGGGAGATGGAGTGAGACTCCAATTAAAAAAAAAAAAAAAATTCTTAAAATGACTGGGGGCAGTGGCTCAAGTCTGTAACTTCAGCACTTTGGGAAACTGAGGCAGGAGGATTGCTTGAGCCCAGGAGTTCAAGACCAGCTTAGGCAACATAGCAAGACTTTGTCTCTACAAAAAAATCAAATAGAGCCGGGCTCAGTGCCTCAGCCTGTAATCCTGCGCCTTTGGGAGGCTGAGGTGAGTGGATTGCTTGAGCCCAAGGGTTCCAGACCCGCCTGGGCAACTGACCTCATCTCTACAATAAATCAAAATGAGCCAGGCATGGTAGCGCGTGCCTGTAGTTCCAGCTATTTGGAAGGCTGAGGTGGAAGGATCACCGGAGCCCAGCAGGTCGAGGCTGCCGTGGCCGGGAGCAGACACTGCACTTCAGTCTGGGTGACAGAGTGAGACTCCAACTCAAAAAAAAGAATAATAAATCAAATAATATGCCCGTAGTCCCAGCTGCTTGGAAGGGTGAGGTGGAAGGATAACCTGAGCCCAGGAGGTTGAGGCTGTGGTATGTCACAGTTGTGCCATTGCCCTCCAGCCTAGGTGACAGTGAGACCCCAACTCAAAAAAAAAAAAAAAAAAAAAACCTTAAGTTAACGTGTACTCCCTGAATTTAAAATAAAAATGGATATAATGTGGGAAAAGATTTTTAAGTTTAAACAGTGTGAGACTGTCTTAAGAGCATCATGTGGGCCAGGCACGGGTGCTCATGTCTGTAATCCCAGTACTTTGGGAAGCAGAGGTGAAAGGACTGCCTGAGCCCAAGGATTCGAGACCAGCCTGGGCAACTTGGCGAAACCCCATCTCTACAATAAATAAAAAAAATTAACTGGGCATGGTGGTGCACATCTGTGGTTCCAGCAACTTGAAAGGCTGAGTCAGAAGGATGGCCTGAACCCAGCAGATTGAGGCTGCAGTGACTGTGAGCGTGCCAGTGTACTCTAGTCTGGGTGACAGAGTGAGATTCTGGCTAAAAAAAAAAAAGAGTATCATGTGGTGCGATGGTCATGGCAACCTCTGTGCCTCTGCAGAGTCCTCTTCATCTGCAGAGTCCCGGCATCACTGGCCGGGCTCCGCGGCTCAGCCTGTAATCCCGCGCCTTTGGGAGGTTGAGGTGAGTGGATTGTCTGAGACCGCGGGTTCGAGACCCGCCTGGGCAGCAAGACCTCCTCTCTACAATAAATCAAAAAATTAGCCGGGCGTGGTAGCACATGCCTGTAATTCCGGTTACTCGGAAGGCTGAGGCGGAAGGATCGCCGGAGCCCAGCAGGTCGAGGCTGCGGTGGCCGGGAGTGGCCACTGCACTCCAGTCTGGGCAACAGAGTGAGACTCCAACTCAAAAAAAAAGCATCATTGGGACTTTTTTTTACATTTTGCAAGACAAAATAGACTCAGAGAAATGAAGTAACTTCTCCTAGGATGTTCGCCAGTCAGTAAAAGCTGAGATCTCACGATGGGCTCAAGCTCAATTTGCTTCATTGGGCAGTTTGTGTTTGATCCTTTTTCAGTCTGTGAAACACAGCTTGCTTGGAATTTCTGGGATGTACAAAGTCCTCTTCTTTGACTCTTTTTGGGGTGTTTGAGAAAGTTAGGATGTCGGCACAGAGATGTGGAATTATAACTCTGGTCATGGGTGAGTTGTCATGCTAGGCCTCTTTCCACTTTTGTGTATTAAAGATAACTCATTCTGAAAAATGGAATTTTGTGACAATGTAACTGAGTGTCTGAGTAAAGAAGAAAACACAGTTTATAATATAGAACTCTTTAAGTGGTAGCTTTTAATGAAAAATGAGGACAAGTCAGGCGAGGTGGCTCACGCCTTTAATCCCAGAACTTTGTGAGGTCGAGGCGAAAGAGTTGCCTGAGCCCACAGGTTCAAGACCAGCCTGAACAACTTGGCAACCTCATCTCTACAATAAATTTTTTAAAAAAATTAGCCAGGCATGGTGGTGCGTACCTGTAATTCCAGCTACTTGGAATGCTGAGACAGAAGGATCACCTGATCCCAGCAGGTTGAGGCTGAGATGCCCATGAGTGTGCCACTGCACTTCAGCCTAGGCAAAAGAGTGAGATTCTGACTCAAAAAAAAAAAAAAAGAAAAAGAAAAATGAGGGAGTAAAAATACTGCAGGGAACACTGACCTGGAGAAAAAGATAGCCTTCTCATTCTTCAAAACCATGCTTGCAATATCCTAAATATGATGTTTTCCATTTAGGCTCAAAGTTGAACCAAAAAAAAAGAAATATTTGTGCCGATAAGGGAAGATTTCTAAACCCACATGTTAAATACAGAAAAAGAGGGAGTATGTGAAGCAGCTGTGCTGTCATTTGCGGTGTGATAGGGAACTGCCACACCTGTATGCATGGGCCTCAGCAGGCACCAAGGCCACTGGACACCCGCAGCTCTGGGGCCATGGACACATGCGGACTGGAGGTGACCAGACTGCCTGCACTACCTTGTTTTTTATCTATGTGAGGTTCTCACTTTATCTGTCATTTTGATTTTTCATAAGTTTTCCAGCAGGTGGTGCTAGACGCTATCCAGTGGCTCAGGTCGGGCGGGCAGGCATTCATGTTCCAGAAGCAGTGGCTCACGCCTGTAATCCCAGCATTTTAGGAGGCAGAGGCAAGAGAATTGCCTAAGTCCACGGGTTTGAGACCAACCTGGGCAACATAGCAAGACTTCGAATCTACAAGAAATAAAAATATGAGCCGAGTGTGGTGGAGTGCACCTGTAGTTCCAGCTAGTTGGAAGGCTGAGGTGGAAGGATCGCCTGAGTCCAGTGGCTCAAGGTTGCGGTGACCTTGAGCATACCACTGCACTCCAGCATGGGTGACAGAGTGAGACTCCAACTGAAAAAAAACCAAACAGACAAACAAGAAAAGCAAGACCTAATTTCTCCAGCCTGGCCTTGGTCCACCCTGTCTCTGTACCCTGGCCCATCAAAGGCCCAGCTTTTGATACTGTGGTTGTTTTCTCTGCAGGCCAGGATCCTAATGATTATTTTATTAAGTGAACACTTCAGATTGGTTGAGTGGATGAGGACTGGAATGAGCTGTCAAGAAGGCGAGTATGTGTATTTTACAAGATGGGTGCATTATGTTTTTGAGTTGGAGTCTCACTCTGTCGCCTAGAGAAGTGGGGTGGTAGCTGGAGGAAGAGGAAGATGAGAGATGATTTGTCTTTCAGGATGGAAGTAAGAACATCTCGTCAATTGGAAGAACTGTTTAGTGAGGGGTAACGTTGGAAAAAGAGCTGAGGCCTGCAAGTGCACAGGCATAGCAAGTTCTTTATAGACACACTGTCTACTGGAATGAAATGTATTCCCACTGTAGCTAGTTCTTTATGTTAAAATAGAAATTATTCCCACTGTGGAAGACACCACACTTCCAGCAGGGGACTGGAGTGCAGTGGTATGCTCACAGCCACCACAACTTCAACCTGTTGGGCTCAGGTGATCCTTCTGCCTCAGCCTTCCAAGTAGCTGGAACTACAGGCATGCACCGCCATGCCCGGCTAATTTTTGGATTTACTGTAGAGATGAGATCTCGTCAGGTTGCCCAGGCTAGTCTCAAACCCGTGGACTCAGGCAATCCTCTCACCTCAACCTCCCAAAGTGCTGGGATTATAGGCATGAGCTACCATGCCCAGTCGATGGGTGCATCTTTAGGAACCATCCAGTGGGCAGGGTGGACACTCTAGGAAGGCCCAGAAGAGGAGGTAGGCTGGGAAGGGGAGGGTAGCTCTGGGTGTGGTTGTGGATTGCCTGTGAGGGGCCCTAGGTCTGCCTGCATCCTGCCAGACCTGCGCCAGGTGTGTAGGGCTTCATTGGGCTCTTCCTCTTTTTGTTAAAATTTTAAAGAGAGGCATAGATTGAAATATAGTGTTCCAGTTATGTTGTGAGGCCCTGAGCTGTCTCTACACTCCTTGAGTCTTGTTTTCTCTCCCATACAATGGAGGCGATGATAGTACTCCCCAGCCGGCTAGCATACAACCAGTGGATAAGAAGACATGGGCAGTGTTTAGGGAATGGCAAGAAGGATCTAGAAAAGAGCCCAAAAGAAAAGGCCAGTAAGGAAGTGAAACCACAAGTGTGTGGTGTCAGCATGCCCAGGTGAGCAGGAGCTTCAGGAGTGAGAGTCCAGTGGGTTGAGACTTGAAGATGGTCCAGTAGCTGCTTTTGGTCAACTTAAAAAGAAAGGTGCTTGTGGAACGGCAACTAGGAAAGCTTTCCTAGTGGGTGCCAGAGGGAAGGAGAAGACACATGAGAAGCTCAGAAAACTCTAAGGAGCTCCCCTGTGGCAAGACCAGAGAAGTGGGGTGGTAGCTGGAGGAGGAGGAAGGTGAGAGATGATTTGTCTTTCAGGTTGGAAGCAAGAACATCTCATCAATTGGAAGAACTGTTTAGTGAGGGGTAAACTTTGAGGAAGGGCTGAGGCCTGCAAGTGCACAGGCATAGCAAGTTCTTTATAGACATACTATCTACTGGAATGGAATGTATTCCCACTGTAGCTAGTTCTTTATATTAAAATAGGAATTATTCCCACTGTGGAAGACACCACACTTGCAGCAGGGTCACAGAGGCAGGCCCATGTAGGGCTCCCTTCTCCAGGACTTGGCCTCATAGGTCTCGGCAGCCTTGGCCTTCCATAGCTTCAGTAAGTTTCTTTCTGTAGTTTACCTACTTTTCCTAGTTCTCAATAGAAGAGTTACACCAGAAGCAGAAGTTTCTCTCCTTTTTACACTAGGTTTCAAGAACACTTAAGCTCTCCATGTACCATCATCATTTACAAGTACAAGGATAAGTCTGATCAGGGTCACAGGTGTGAAAACATTCACCAAGACAGATATGAGCTAATAAAAGTAGGTTTACTAAAATGAAGACACTGTGAAGGGCACAGCGGTGAGGAAGGGCAGAGAGTATGAGAGTGTTTGCTGTCTGCACTAAAGCAGTGGCCTGAGGTTCTTCCCAGGGGAGTTTGACCTTTTTGGTGAGGGTGAGTTATAGGATTTCCGGCATGCATTTGGGTTCCCGCCATGCAAATGAGGCAGTTCTGATTGATTGAAGTTTGACCTTGATTGTAAGCAGCTCATGGGCCAGTCAGAAGTTAACACAGGATGGCTCTTGTACAAAATGGCTCCCACAATCTAGTTTCCACAAATGTCAATGCATGTGTGTCATTCACAGCACACCTCCTTTTCCCCTGTGGATGCAAGTAGATATCATTTCGAACATGGCCTTCACCTGTATGTACTTCAGCTTGTATCTATATGATAGGAACTGTCTTTAATAAAAATTCCATCAATGTGCACACATACACTTAACTACCATTCTTCATTCTCATCACATAAACAATGTTTACATTTACTTACCGCCTTGTTGTAATATTCACAGGTGATTTTTCTTAACAAAACATTCTGAGCTGAGGTGAGAGGACTGCCTAAGCCCACGGGTTTGAGACCAGCCTGGGCAACCTGGTGAGACCTCATCTCTACAATAAATAAAAAAATTAGCCAGGTGTGGTAGCATGTGCCTGTGGTTCCAGTTACTTGGAAGGTTGAGGCGGAAGGTTCACCTGAGCCCAGCAGGTCAAGGCTGCGGTGGCTGTGAGTGTGCTACTGCACTCCAACCTGGGAGATAGAGTGAGACTCCAACTCCAAAAAAAAAACATTCTAATTGGCAAGACTATTGTAGACTGCATTTATTACCAGATGAGAAGACTGAGAAAGGAACCACAGCTTCCCAGGAGGGCAACATGAAGCACTTCTCTTCAGTGGGGACCTCAACACATTCCCCCACCAGGGGACAAACCAGGCCCAAGGAACCAAGATCCACCTGAAGCAGGCATGGGAATCACCCTGGCTGAGAAGCCTCATGTATCAGGGGATAGTTTCCACGGCTCCCGCAAGCGATGTACAAAATTACAATACCCATCATACTGACCAAAATCTAAAGCTGTGGTGACCCCATGGGTCATTTAATTTATATTATATTTTTAGTTTCTCCAAGGTCAAATACAATTTCCCAACTAAAGATCATTTTTGCCATAGAAATGCTACCAGGCAACATGGAAACAATGCAAATTTATAAGATTGCTAAGAAGCAGAACTAGGAAGTTAGCTAAAAGTGAAATGAAGATCAAACACACATACATAATAGAAAACGGATTGGTTATCTTCTGTTTTTTTTTCTTAGTGGGAGTCTCACTTTATTGCCTAGGCTGAAGGGCAGTAGCATGCTCATGGCCACTACAGTCTCAGCCTGCTGGGCTTAGGCGATCTTTCCCCCTCAGCCTTCCAAGTAGCTGGAACTACAGGCATGCGCCACCATGCCCAGATAATTTTTTGACTTATAGAGATGAGGTCTCGCCAAGTTGCCCAGGCTGTTCTCAAACCCGCAAACTTAGCCAATCCTCTCACCTCAGCCTCCCAAAGTGATGGAATTATAGGTGTGAGCCACTGTGCTGCACAGTTATCTAATTTTCTAAAATAGCTTTTGAAGTATGAGCGGCATACAACTAACTATAATTGGGTTTTTTTTGTTTTTTTTTTTGAGTTGGAGTCTCACTCTGTCACCCAGACTGGAGTGCAGTGGCCGCCCCCGGCCACTACAGCCTCAACCTGCTGGGCTCCAGCGATCCTTCCATCTCAGCCTTCCAAGTAGCTGGAACTACCGGCGCGCACTATCACGCCCAGCTAATTTTTTTATTCATTGTAGAGATGCGGTCTCGCCAAGTTGCCCAGGCGGGTCTCGAACCTGCGGGCTAAGGCAATTCACTCACCTCAGCCTCCCAAAGTGCTGGGATTACAGACTGAGCCACCGAGCCCGGCCTGTAATTTTTTTTTTTTTTAATGAGTTGGAGTCTCACTCTGTTACCTAGGCTGGAGTGCAGCGGCATGCTCATGGACACTGCAACCTCGACCTGCTGGGCTCAGGCAATCCTTCCACCTCAGCCTTTCTAGTAGCTGGTACTACAGGTATGCACCACCACACCCAGCTAAATTTTTTGGTTTATTGTAAAGACAAGCTCTTGCCATGTTGGCCAGGCTTGTTTCAAACCCCTGGGCTCAAGCAATTCTCTCCCCTTGGCCTCCCAAAGTGCTGGGATTACAGGCATGAGCCACCCACCACACCCAGCTAACTGTAGGTTTTTTTTTTTTTTTGAGTTGGAGTCTCACTCTGTCGCCCAGACTGGAGTGCAGTGGCCGCTCCCGGCCACCACAACCTCGCCTGCTGGGCTCCGGCGATCCTTCCGCCTCAGCCTTCCAAGTAGCTGGAATTACAGGCATGCGCTACCACGCCCGGCTGATTTTTTGATTTATTGTAGAGATGAGGTCTCGATGCCCATGTGGGTCTCGAACCCT